CGAACGAGCTAACCTGAAGGCAAGTGAGCGCAGCAAACGAGCTCCAACCTAAAGGTGAGTGAGCGTAGCGAACGAACTTCAACCAGGACGTGATTGAGCCATGCGAACGAGCTCATCTTGAAAATGAACGAGCATGTGACATAAAACCACAATAGGACAGGACGACGTCTGTCGGGCCAGCTAGCCTAGTATTTAATATTATTAACTTTTATGGAACAATCTCTGTTGTAATGTTGTAATCATTTACAAACCTGCCAAACATCTGAGTTAAATAAGGGATCATAATTAATTTTACAACAGGCAAATAATTAATGTTCAGTAACTGCCGAAAATAAAGGTTAATGACATGCTCCTGAATGCTCTGTCCCTGACTGCCCCATCAGACTATAATAATTCAGTTATTATTTTTGTACACATGTATTTTTTTAATACGTCTCAAAACAACGGTAAGACTATAACACTAAAACTCTATGCAATTAACAGAGAACACATTATTTAAAGATTTTGCCATAGGCCTTTCCAAAAGAATAACGAATCAAATAACGATCTGTCAACGATATAACAGCTGATCTCAGCTCAGTCAGTGTGTGTTCACAGCGGGATTGTTATCCCGAAAACGGGATTTTTGGACCACGCGCGGGATAAAACGGGATTTAAAAGCTCTGATATTTAAGCTCTGAGATAAAATTAACCCCAGAGGCCACAGCATAGATTAGACATAGTCTATTAGTCTATGGATGGCGGTATTGTAGTTTAAACGAGATCTATGATATACAGTATTATAATTAGATCAACATGGAATGGGCACGTCTATGTCTACGTCATAACCTCACCGGAAGGTACCGGTAACGGGATTTTCACAAAATTCATGTGGGATAAAACGTGACTGACCAGACCATCCATTCCATCAAACGGTCTTTCCTCGGCCCGGTAAGCGGGATTTTTGTTTTGGTCGTTGGTCGCAGGAAACAGAAACACTGATAAAGCATCAAACAACGATGTAAACAATTGGCCTCAAAGTGCAAAGTGTCATAATCAAATTGATTATTGGTTCTTTAATACACTTAGGAATTTTTCGACAACTGCAATTACTTTATTGGTCATCTGATTCCAATCTAAAGTCACGTGTTTGTAAAATTGCTATCGTCGTATTGTATATTCATAAATTATTCCACCTTTTAGCGATTTTACAAATTACAGAATTTTCCTAATACTGTGCACTTCACCTAAAATTATTTGTCACACATCTATGAAAAGTCAAACAAATCGTCAGCTGCTACTTACGAAATTCATTTTGATCCTGTTCCCTCATATCCTCGAAATCTTCGTTCATTCCACAGCAAACTTCCTTCCAAGCCTCTTTCACTGCTGTTCTGTCTTTGTAAGCTGATTCGTATTTGTCCCATAGTGCAGGTCTGTCTCGTACCAACGATATGAGTAATTCACTGTCTATTTCTTTATCGTCACCCATCTCGAATAATTAGTACACTTCACTACCTAATCACGATAAATGGTGTTATCAAACGATATAAAACCGTTACGGATCGCACTGGTGGCAGGACAGGACGGCCGACGGCGCCGTGACCCAGTTAATGGCGGACGGACACGAATCATTGCCGTGCCGTTCGCGCCGTGGAGGGGGAGCGCGGGAGATTTGAAACTAGCGCAGAAATTGGTTATTTTACAGACGTCACGCTTTTTGTTCGGTGGGTTGTATTAATTGCTATTGTTCAATGTGAAAGATTTTGAACAATATTTTTAGATTGTGACGGTTATTTTTTACTTCCTCCCCTGTATATTGTATTTTATGAGAAGGTATTGCTGCAGGCAATTGATAGACCAATGGAATAACATGGGAGTACAGTTTTTAATTTTCTCAGTACCTTTAATCATACAATTGCAGTACACAATCATAGATGAAGTAATATTAACTTCATCTATGATTATATCCCTTACAATACTATTTTGTATTTAAACTCTACTCTGTGATTGTAATGAGAGTCGGGCATTTTAATTTGGATGAAAACTTGAAACCCAAATTTTCCCAGCCACATCCATGCCAAATTTCATAAAAATCAAACCTAAATTACTCGAGTTACCACGACTGACCAAAAATTAACAAATGGCGTTTTTGGCCACTAGGGACACAAACATTAAAAATTAAACCCATCCCAATTCCGGGTTTAACGGTCCCACCGTCCCACCTACGGGAATAAAAAGCTACCATCATGTAATAAATAGCTACTTGCTACTTCCCAAGGGAAGTTGCTAAAAATTGCTCCATTCCCCGTAATAAGATGGGAAGACATCAGCTGTTTTCGGTTTCGCGGAACTATTTGGCGGGTGAAGGGACGCACCATACACAACAATTAAATCGGCAATACGAGGAAGGGGCGGGAGACAGAGTGAGAGAGAGAAGTGTTTTGTTTGATAGCCTTGAATGTTGCCAGACAGCTCGTGGAAACGGTGAGTCATCGCCCCCCTTCCCCCCGGGTACAACCCCCCCCTCCACTAACGACCCACATCGGGGACTCTGTGTTGGGGGAGGCGTCCCACAGAAAAAAAACAATCAATACTGCAATACTGCATCCCTGCTACTGGCATCTTTGTGAGATCGTTACACAACGAAATGTTGTTAGTAACGTACAGTTTTTTTTGTTTTTTTTTTATCAACAATATCAATCGGTAGATGTAGAAAGTTTGGTATTTTCTCAGACCACTATGATCATAGGCCTGCTTGATCATATGAAAAATCTGGACCAACGATTATTTTTAATAATTAATATAATTTCAAGTTTTTATTATAATTATTGTACATTATTTTACTGCGTGACATGGGAGTAAAATAAAAAAAAATCACGTTTATTAAACCTTTTTCAAAAATTAAACCAAATATTAATAAAAAGTACAATTAATAATTTTGGGGAAATCTGTAAATTTTTGGGGTTTTGGAATATATTGTTACGCACAAAATGTTAGATTTTCTTGACTTTTTAATTTTTAAAGCAGTTTTCTTTTGTTTTAGTAGCTGTTGTTGGTAAATTTTTAAACACGAGTATTATTAAACTCGTAAACTTTGGTTTCAGGGAACAGAAACACTGGATTTATATTATTTTAAATATATTATAGTACATTTTTTAAAGTTTACAGATAGTGTCTTCAGAATCGTACAAGTCTATCAGTAATTTATGATAATCTTAGGCACATAGAAGATTAGAAGATTAAGAAAATGTGTTGTATCATAGCAGAGTAAAGATTGAGAAATAGTAAAAAAAACTCTGGACAGAAGGTTGACCCAAAGCCAAAAACGTAGAACGTGCGCAAAAATAACAGTTGCATCAATTGCAAAACCATGAGAGCTTGGCCTTGGTTTGGAAAGCAAAAGACATGTTTTACAACTGTGAGTCCTCCGGTAAAATCAGATGGGATGGTCCTTCGTGTACTAAATCCAAATCCAATAGGGCAGGGAAATTGAACTATTTTTGTGTTTTCGAATGTGCGAAGAATAAGCTGAACAACTACCAAAACAGGACTCATTTACTTTGAATGTGTCTCATCCTATTGCAAAATCGAAAGATTTGTTGTCTTTATTTCATTTGTAATTGCGAAACTTACAATACACATTTTTTTAAGGTATATTTTATGGCCTTTCTTTACTCGTCAGTAAAAAAATGATACGATAGGTCAAAGCAATTGCTTAAAAATACTAGAATCCATAAAACACTGAGCAATATGTTTAACCAAATTAATCTTCGAATAAATTTCAGTGATTATAAAAATTAACATTTCAAATAATTGCATAATGTGTAGCACCTTATCATTCAATGTTAACAAGTCCAAAGAATGCATCGATAAATTCCTAAGGTTAATGCTTGGATTGCGTGCGCCAGACGCCTTCACATCAAATTCCACAATCTGCATGCCTTCACGTCATGAGCCGAGCGGTGGAATAATGAAGGCGCAAGTAAAATCCGTAGAATCCATGGTATTGGGAAAAGGTTTCTCAATTACCCTCACTTGCCCATTTTTTTTTTACAATTCAGAACTTTTTAGGTTAGGTGTTTAAACTTATTGAATGTGAATAATTGCTATATGATCCTTTAAAGACCATGTCTTTTTCAGTGGGTTAAATTTACTTGGTACTGTAGTTTGATATAAATTTGGGTGTATGGTGAAAATATTGAACACGAAATCATATAACTAATTTTTAAAGGTATTGTTTTGTTGTAATAATTAATCATGAAAGATTGCTTGAAAAATGTTGTAACAATAAATTTGCTGTCATCAAGAAATATATTTGTCACACAATTATGTGGGTACGTATTTGGTTTCAGTTACTGTATATTGCACACATATGTACAAAACCTGTTGAGGTGGAAACATTTTAATACCGTACAATGAAACTTTTTAATGATGTACGGAATGTAAAGTTTGAAATGAACTGATCGATTACTTAAATCTTAAAATAAGTGTTTAGTCTGTGGATTTTATGGTTAACTATAGAACGGACTGCAGAGTAATGCAATAAATAATTTTACACTTTTATATAACAGAATAGCACAAATTTAATGGTTTTTTGATAAAACGTAGCACTTATTTTTTCTTGAAGATATACACACATTTTTTTAACTACAGTGTTTATGGATTTCTTAGATATGCGAACATGAAATCAACAATTATAAGGGGACAAAATCGTTATTTTGTAAGTTTTATTTATAAACTAAACATAAATTAATGAAGATGAAACGTTAGATTTGGGGAGAAATAATTTAAAGAAAACAATATTTGAAAACCCGCCACTAACGATGCCCCTCTCCGCCACCAGCGCGCGGGTGCGGGGCGCACCACCGCGACCAATAGGAGCGCGCCGACCGCTTCGTAGAATATTGAATGTCGTCATCGCCAGCCAATCGGAGTGGCGGAAAGTGACGTAGTTGCCAGAAATAGACTCAGTGAGTCACGAGATAAAGGCTTGTTTGTCAAGCCGCGGGTTCACTCTGGTTGTGAGCCGGCTGTTGAACGGATGTGTTGTTTGTTTCGAAGTGTTTCACGTCGTCTGTACAAGTTCACATTGTTTGTTTACCAGTGATGTGCGTGGCCTTCGTGCTGTTGTAAGTGTGTTACCAATGGTTCGTAACGCGACGAGGATGGAACCTACGTTCTACGAGGAAAACACCATGCGCCAGCGATACTGTGGTGATAACGTTAAGGTTCTGAAGAGAACTATGACTTTGGACTTGAACGCGAACAGCGGCCAGCCCGTCAAGAGGATGAAGTTGGTTCCTGTGTCCACCCCGGCGCCCATGTTGTCGTCACCGGACTACAAGAAGCTCAACATCAACACACCCGAGATAGAGAAGATGCTAATGGGTCAATCTGGACTTCCTACTCCCACGCCGGGACTCTTCCCCAAACCTATCACTGAGGAGCAGGCCGCGTTTACCAGAGGGTTTGAAGAAGCCCTGCACGAACTCCAACACCACAGCGACTCCAGTCAGGGAGCGATTCAACATGTCGATCTACCCAGGAGTAGTAGCAGCAGCAGTTCTTCGGGAAATACCTACATGACCCTCGACTCCCAGTACCCTCCCAGCTTCGGCCTCTTGTCCAACGGGGATAACATCACCGTCAAGGAGGAACCTCAGACTGTGCCACTGGGACCTACACCTCCGATGTCACCCATCGACATGGAGAGCCAGGAGAGATACAAACTGGAGAGGAAGAGGGAGAGAAACAGAGTGGCAGCGTCCAAGTGCAGACGAAGGAAGCTGGAGAGGATCGCTCGACTTGAGGATAAAGTCAGGGGGTTGAAGACGGAGAACAGTGAGTTAAGTAATGTAGTGGCCAAGCTCAAAGAACACGTTTGTTCGCTAAAGGAACAAGTCTTGGAGCATGTACAGAGTGGTTGCCAAATAGTGTTATCGTCAGGGCATTTTTCTGCCTGTTAGCACCCGTGGAGCTTAATTTTGTAAGCTAATATTTTTTTATGTATATATATTTATATACTAGATATAATCAAGCAATATTGAAGTCATCTTCCTTCTGTGCCACAAAATTTGTAATATCTAATGTGCTCAAAGATATGTTTCGGACTTTATAAATCAAACAAGTAAGTTGGGCTATTTCCATTCAAGATGACCGTAGGCCTATTTCATGTTTCACAAGGTTGGAACTTATGAATCAATCAGAAAATTGGAATTCTGTCTTTAAAGATAAAATCTTTTATTTGACCATCTGTCCAGCCGTAGAGAGCAATTCAATGTTCTTGAAGATTTATTGTTAGGCCTACTATATTGATAGTAAGGTTGATTCAGAGGCACAATTAATCCTCTATGAGTCATAGAGCTGTGTATAAAGTAATTTTAAGTTAACCAATAGTTGTAAGCAGTATAACAGAGGCTATTTATAGGTTAGGTTTAGAAAATGTGGCCTCAACTGTTTTTGTTGTTATTTCTAGTCAAAACTCGTGAGGCCAGCATTACGTGATACCGTTCCCAGTTCTTTTTTTACAAAGCCTAGATTACTGTTTACAGTACTGTACTAAACATAAAATTATTTCTCTTCAAAACGAATGTACTGAAGGTGTCATGTACACACTCCGCTTAACATTCAGTTAACGTAGGCTACTTCATACAGCACAAACATACAGAAGCTTGTAGGCTAACTCAAGTACCTACCCTTTTAGTTTACACACAGATTTTAGGAAGCTTAAATTGAATTTGAGTAACACGCTACCTGATTCTTGGCAGATTACCAGCCAAAATTGTTGAAGGACTGATAATCTGTCATGGAACAGTTAAATGATTAATATGGTACATTCCAACTTGCTCCTATAACCGAGTTTATCTAACAAACTCATCTTGTGCTCTGTACAAATCAGCTGATTTCAGGTGGTACGTCCAGCAATAAGAGAATAATGGGCGATTCTACTTCGTCTTATTCTCCGGTTGCTGTACGTAGCATTTTGAATTGCTTAGATAGTGCTTGCGACTTCATCAAATGATGCTCGCTAAGTCACTTTTCTTGTCGCTACAGTAAACCCTGATCACTAGGCCCGAGTTTATACAATAATTTAGGCTTTGTCACTCTAAATTATTAGGCAGTGCTTGTTATACTATTTGTTACCATTGTGTTTACTTTTCACTTTTAATCCATTTTCATAACGATTTAGGCCTAGGCCCTATCAGGTTTTTTGCTCCAATTAATTCACAACTATTCAACTAAGCAATCGATCATGAGCATATTCAATAGCTTAGGCTAATCTTTTGACGATCAACCCGAGTCAATTCGACTGGGACTGGAACATTCGGTCCTGTGTGTTCGATAAATATAAAATTTTAAAACTGTGGTTATAGGCTATTCTCAATTTTGTACTGTAATAAGAAATTATTTTGAAAGAAGCCTGACTAAGAAATTATTATTTTCTGCTATTTACAGTTTTTAAAATCACATAATGTTCATGAAGTAATTTTGTCTACCAATTAGCTTCGGTTTTCAATTAGAGTTTACTGCAAATCAATCGTGCCAGTAAACTTCTTTGTTGTGTTGAATGTTTTAGTTTTAAATTGTTTTGCTTTAAAAAGTCCACTTCATGCAATAATTATTGTTTTAAGTATACTTAGTTTAATTTGTAAATCTATAAAGGCATAATTAAAATCACAAGGATCGTTTTTTGTTAAAAAATTATGAAATGTTTCATTTGGCACACATCCTACAAATTAAAAATATATACTGGTAGCCTATATTTCAAATGATTACCGAGGGAATGTAACCCAAAAATATTTGCTGGTGTTAAACTTTACTGTAGGCCTAATCCCTGTGAACCTTTTTTTATCTCAAAGTTCAATAGATACTTTTACCTGTAGGCCCTACATCCATCCAAACATAATTCTTAATGTCAACCTTAGCATTCTTGTGGTCTAATTTGTACCTTTTAGATTATGACTGTGATTAAATTAGGAAATTAGGATAGAATATAGCTTGTAAGTTTGCACATTCCTATGTAAGATTTGCTCCAAATGAGTATTATTGCAGATTTATAAAACTAAAGTTGATGTAATCATGCAATTCATTAGAAGAACATTTTAAAATCTCAAAGCTTATGGATAGATCATTTAATATATTTGTTACAATTATGTATTTTTTAACTATTGTACACTAAAGATATAGTTATCCAGTTATTATTTTTATGACGTTCAATCAGGTTGTCATACCATAGAACCATACATTAATATAATGTTATTTCATGTGCAATTGTCTTTGAATACCATTTATTTGCCATATTGTAAATGTAGAGCAATAATCTAAAATTTCTTTTGATCACATTTAGTTTGAGTTCTTAAATCATAGGTGTTCTAATATTTTACAGAGACTATACAATCGCTATTTGCGTCTCTTATACACTATAATAATGTCGTGCCTTGTGTATTTTTGATCTGCTATACATTTTATACTGAAGTGTGTTTATATGTATGCTAACTGAGCCCCTTTCTATTTTTATACTATAGGCTATATCCAGTTAGTTGACAGTGTGTTGCAATCATAACAAAGTATGTGATCCATTATGACTAAGATTTCAATATTTTCAATTGCGTTTTCAAAGATATGTTTATATGATGAAATAAACCATTATTACCATCACTTTTGAGTTTTCACTCCTTCCTTTTTCAGTTTAAAATGTTAAATTGATAGTTATCTGATGTATGTAAGGGTTTTAGCCACTAAGTTTAACTACAAAATGCTTATAAATTTATCCAAATGCACTAATTTTTATTCATTAACGTCACAGAAGCCTTAAGATACTGGTACTTGAAAATTTCACAATTTAAATTTATTATTACCAACCAATTGCACAATGATAAGTAGTTAAGCAAGTTTAGCTTTGACTGCAAATAGAAGATTATTTTAAAAATTCTGAAAACGATGAAAATTTATTGGACTAGGCCTATCCAGAAACTTGTTTAAATCAAACTTCTTTGGTGACTTAGTGAATTTTTAATCTCCATTACTGCAACATAACTTTTTCAATTGTTCACCAACAAACATTCTCAATGTTATTTTCTATTGGAAATTTAATTTCTAGTGCCATTTTAGGTGTATTTTTGAGTCGCAAATCGATGATTTTCAAGTGGTGTATAATCAAAGGTGATACCCATTTCATCATTAAAAACTTAAAAGTATATATTAAATGTTTACTTAGATTAGACGAACTTAAAAAGTGTATCTCAAGTTTACACCAGATGGTGGATAGTCAGGTGTGTTTGAAATCATGTCACAGGTTGTGCCTTATACAGAAACCTGTCCAAGGAGAAGTGGCGAAATTAACAGCTGTGGATTCCAAGAAATGTTTACAGGTTTTGCCAAATACTTAAGGGGAGACTGAACCTTTTTTGTCTTAAAAAATTAAATTTTTGTTTTTCGTCTAAAATTAATCTCCGTTTCTTCCTGATTAAGAAAATATATAATACTTAGTATATTTAAAAGCTTCTTATGATAACAATAAATAAACAAAGCTAACTCTACCGAGGTTTCGGCCACACTATTCTTATGGCTTTGAGTGTGTGCTGCAAAGCTTTTAAGTGTGTTTTCCGAAAGTTAGTTTTTTTTTATCTTTAGGTACACATAGTTCAAAATCTGTAATACATAGAGACTTAAAATTTTACATGCATTAGTCTGGGTACTTGGTGAGTACATTAAACCAATCATATATTGATTGGTTATAAATTTTCATTTAAAAAATATTTTATTTTTATTTTTAGAATATTGCATAACATTTTTTATTTTTTAAATGATTGAAAATAACTTTTATATTGATATATTTCTTTAAAAAGTGGTTTAACATAAAGATATGGATGTGATAATTAAGTGTGCAAAAGATCAGTATGATAGGTTTAGTAGTTTTCGTGCTATATGTACTTGAACTTGTAGAAAATATCCATTTAAAAAGCATTGAACCAGAAAAGGTACAGTCTCCCCTTAATTTCCGATGCCACAATCACAATTTTCTGAAACTTAAGTCAATTAGTCAACTAAAGAGCTATACAAATGGTACCTTATAGCATAAACCAGTACAAGGGAGTATGCTATATCTCAATATCTGTGCTAATAGTTGAATTGTAAGATGGGCTACAGTGGTTGGCATTGATTATAATAATGATGGAGTATCCTCTGGCTTAATTTATCCAGCTGAACTTCTGATAAATTACAACTGCCAGTATAACATCCTCTTCTGAACCAAGGCAACACTAAAAAACAAATATTTAGTGTTGTCTTGTCTGAACACAGTCAAAAGAACATCACTGTTCCAACTGAAGAGGAAAGGCCTGTATTGATTCTTTGCCAGTTCTTTAAATTGACCATTAAAATTAGCGTTGAAATTGTTGACCATTTCAATAGGGTAATCAGATGTCCAATGTGGGTAAGTCGGAGTTATAACTGCATTTAATAATTAAAAGTACAGTATGAAAATACATAAACTTTTAAGCCTATAGGCTAAAGCTATTTTTGCTATAAAATTTAACCTATGAATCTTAATGAGCGTTTAAGTTCAAAAAACCCCATATATTTTGTCATTGTGTATGGCAATATCAAAGTAGTCTTATATGTGTTGGGATACTGAAAAAACTTGCTTATTAAGTCGAACCTACATATTTGGTGAAAGTTATAGTTATGATACAAGCCATTTATTCATGTACTTGTTGTACTGTATCTGGAAATTTTTATGAAAAGGTATTTATCCATGTACTTATATCAACACCTTTGTTTTTTACTTTCTTTGTTAGGGGAGGGTCCAAGGTCCAATACAATACCTATTACTATTTAAAATCTGACTGCATCATTAGTTGATAGCCCAAAACCCAGTGACAAAAGTCATCAGCTCATAATGAATTCCACCCGGAATCGAACCAGCGACCTTCAGGTTTGAAGGCGAGCTAAACCTCTCGCTAACCAGGCAATAATTGAGAATGTATTGCATTTGTACCACTAGAGTAAAGATAAGGGCACTTAATTAAGTGCAAGCAAGAGCATAAATGTTTGTAGACTTTCTATAGACCAATTTCACACATGAGCTAGTGTTTAGTGACAACTTTGGCGGGGCCGCAGAAAGCGCGGGTAGGTGTGGGCGGCCGGAAGAATAGAAACGAGGAAGATCTGATGACGTCGTGCCAAGGTTGCGACGTTGCCAGATAGTGCTAAGTCCATCAGTGTCCAACAGCCAATACCGTTGGCTACTCGGTCATAACAAACAAGCTATGATATGGCATTGTTTGCGACGTTGCCAGATTTTTTTAGTAACTGTGAAATATAATGTATATGGGTCATAACAACCATGTGGTATGAAATTCGGCGCAGCGTTGCCAGATATGCTAAGTACATCAGTGTGCAACAGTGAATACCGTTGGATATTGGGCCATAATCTATAAATTTAACATTCGTTTCGATCTTGCCATGTTAGACTTCAGTGCGGTAGGGACGTGTTCGATTCCCGGCACACCAACAAAAAAATAACATAAACTCATATTTTGGGTTTGGACCGCTTGCCCAAAAAGTGTTTACTTAGCCCGTATTTTGTACAATAGGCTACCAATACCTCTCGTAAAAATGCCAGGAAGTGAAAGTATGACCTCTTGCGTAGGCTAGACGAGAAAAAATAGTGGTTACTGGGTCATAACCATCATGTATAAAGTCTAACCTAAAGTTAGGTTATATGGTAATAAACATCGATGGACATGGTCATTTCAAGCTATATGGCATTTTTGCGTATTTCCCTTGCAATTGGCGAAATAATACGAGATGCACATCGCTAGCCTGTCCACCAAGTTGCCACCATAAACTATAAAATCCCCTTGTTTGTTGACATTGGGCTGGAGCTCATTAAATAAACAACCCAAGACTATCAGTCTTAAACGACCTTTATTGAAACTAGGTACTGAAGTAAATTAAATTAGGTACTTAATTGTATCTTTGGTTAAATAGCATTGTGCAGTTTCAGTTTGCAGTTCACAAGGTGCGTGCCGGAGTGGAAAGTTTGAAGAGGCGTTGCATAAAAGTGTCCAAGAGAAAGTTGCTTAGCTCTAAACAAACGGGTGTTTAGCTCTGTAACAAAATGCAAAGAGGTCAGACCATGAATTGTGGTGCTTTAGTGTATAGTGTATCATTTACTATTTATATTAGGTGAAATCTAGATAAGTACTGTACGTAGATATTACCTTTGACTATTAATACAACACATTTATGCATACTCCCTTGCATGCTTAATCTATGATGACACGTTAATTGTTCCGACACTCAGGAATATTGTTTTTTTTGCTACACCTTTTCCAATTTTATTCGAGAAACAGTCAAAATCAAAATTCAGCTGATTAGATAACCAACACTTCTCAAACTAAAAGCTCTAATTCTGAAATACAATTAACGATTTCTCAATTCCATGTAATATCTCAAATAGAATTGACTATTCTCAAATACATTTGTCGTTTTATCAAATTCAACTGACTAATCTCATTTACATTTGATATTTTCTCAAATACAATTAATAACTTCTCAAATAAATGTGGAAAAAGTATACAATTCTCGAAAAGCAATAATATAATTTTCGTCAACCGGGTAACCCGGAATAAATTAACAGAGGGAAAACGTACAGCTGATTATTGATGTTGCTGACCTCCCCAATGTTGGTGACTCATACAACCCTTGATGTAAACAATGGTGACTCACACATCAGGTGGTGACAGGTGTGCCAACCTACAAACACAAAACTTCCCTAGACTGGTGTAACTGGTCTGAGTGTTTATTGATGTTGCTGACCTCCCCAATGTTGGTGACTCATACAACCCTTGATGTAAACAATGGTGACTCACACATCAGGTGGTGACAGGTGTGCAAACCTACAAACACAAAACTTCCCTAGACTGGTGTAACTGGTCTGATTGTTTATTGATGTTGCTGACCTCCCCAATGTTGGTGACTCATACAACCCTTGATGTAAACAATGGTGACTCACACACATCAGGTGGTGACAGGTGTACCAACCTACAAACACAATACTTCCCTAGAGTAGTGTATCAGGTTTGAGTTTATTGATTTATTGAAGTGTACGATGTTGCTGACCTTCCCTCCCCAAAAAGGAATATTATACATAACCAATTAATTTTGTATCCTCAGAGCGTTTTGTTTCTGATCGTGAATTGCTCAGAATTTCTGGTCGATTTCACAACGCTTTCTCCGCCATGATTGGTTTGATTGTTTGGTGATAAAGAGGCCGCCTTATCAGTTATTGTGCGCACGACGTGGCCTTGAGCGCGGGCCTGCGCACTTGATAACACTGGAATGCAACCGACTCTTCATTGATAAAGAAAACTCTACAAGAGGGGCGAGCTGCAAGGGGCTAATGTCACTGTTCTTGAGTGAACAGTAAATCAAACCAATGTCAGAGCCAGAGCACAAACAGGTTGTTA